GTTTTTTCCAAAAGCCCCACTAGGAGGGCCGGGGATTTAGCTCAGTAGTTCTGCCACCTGCCTCTCAAGCGGAAGGACCTGAGTTCAATCCCCAGTACCAAAAAAACCCCCAAAAAACAAAAGCCCCACTAGGTATGTGAATTTAGATTTCAAGAGTCATGTTTCTTGACCCTATCAGGAAATTTGACAGAGGATTTGTGCATCCTTAAGTCCAAGGTTTGAATGACTTTGTATCAAAAGTATATTTCTAGGTAATTTTGTAAAATGATGTGACATACAATTTATGACACATATCCTAAAATTTTGAGCAAATTTAGTTGAAAAAAATCATATTAATAGGTCATTTCAGGAAAAAAATGGCATATGAATTATTTCCTAAAGCCTACAAAGTTTAATGAATTAGGATGAAAAAAATCCTATTTTCAAGACCACACTGGAAGAAAAATATAGTGTGCTATTATATCCAGAAAATCTTATCATGCAAATTTGGATGAAAAATTGGGCCATATTAAAAGGAAAACTGTGTTTGTGTTTAGGTGTAAAAAGCAAATTTTTGAGTAAATTTGGATGAAAAATCACATTTCCTAGGCAATTTTGGAAGAAAATTCTAATGTTGGGCTTATGCTAAAGAATTGCCACTAATTACTTGACTACTGTTTTATGGTAAGTTTTGAAATTAGGAAGCATAGTCCTCCAACTTTGTTCTTCTCAAAATATGTTTTGCTATTGCTTCTTTTAAAAAGTGTAACACGGGGCCGGGAATTTAGCTCAGTGGTATCGCCGCCTGCCTCGCAAGCGCAAGGACCCGAGTTTGATCCCCGGTACCTAAAAATTAAAATTAAAATTAAAATTACAAATAAATACAAAGTGTAACACAGGGGTCGGGGATTTAGCTCAGTAGTTCCGCCACCTGCCTCACAACCACAAGGTCCCAAGTTCAAACCCCGGTACCAAAAAAAAAAAGAAGCAAGGCTAGAGGAGAAATGAAGATTGTGCAAATTTTGGGAAACTGGTGAAGAAGACAAGAGAGAAAAAGGGAAAAATAAAAACAAGAATGAACAGAATAACTAAAAAAACCCCTAGAAACCATGTTCTGATAATCTAGCAAAAACAAAGCAAAACAAGAATAAGAACCAGAAAAGAAGAAAAAAGAGAAGAGAAAAAAAGTCCATTTCAAGTTTTGTCTCTTCTGTCATTGGTACCCATTGCTACATGGGTAGACAGAGTCTAGGGCCAAATTGATTAATCCCAGCAAGCCAGCTGTAGTTTTATGGTGGGGTAGTGAATAATCTCAGCCAGCCTACACCTTTAATTCCACTGAAGTTCAAGCTAGTTTCTGGCTATGAGGCTGGAGCTGGATTTTTGGAGCCTGCCAATAGTTTGTGTGCCTCCTGCCAACTTGAACTCTGCTCCCTGACCTCCTGTTGACTTGAACTTGGCACCTTCACCAAGACACTGGGAGCCACTAGATGGAGTTGGCCTCTAGCTGTTGTGAGTTCCAAGCTTAGCTGGCCCCTCTCCAAGATGGCTACCAGCCAATCTCCCTCTCCTTGGTGACGTCTGAACCCAAATAACTCACCAGCCACTGCAGTCTGCTGTTTCCCCTACTCTGTTCCACTAGTGTGTTTTTCTGTGTAGGCCTCTGGGGTCGCCAGTAGTCACCATACATCTGCAGGTTCGAGCTGCCATTCCCACATCATGAGTCTGGGATGTGGGAGGAAGCGCTGCTTGCCATCTCCCTCCTCTTCATTAAAGTCTCTCTCTTTGCTCTCCCCATGGACTTCAATTCTTGCTTCAGATCCTTCTTAGGTCCTGGAGACCCACTTTCCTCCTCCTCACGCCACTATATTCCAATGTCAGGACACCAAATCTCAGAGAGGCTTCCTCTGCTGCACACCATTCTACCATCTTCTGATCTTATATTTTGAGTATCTTCTGTTGCACTGTTGATTTTTCAGACTTCACTTCTATTTCCCTCCATCTTGTCTTGTTTAGGTTTTGGGTGAAGGTATGGGTTGCCTTGCACAATTTATTTTTCTGTAGAAAAATTTGATCCATTTTCATCATGATTTTGAGATTCTGAGTCATAGAAAAATCAGCCCTAGGTTACAAAGGCATTACAATCAACTACTGCTGTGTTGCAGACAATCCTACAATTTAGAGGTTGAACATCAACTTTATTATCATCATCCCTCATGGTTCTGGAAGCTGACAGACAGCTCATCAGAATTGTTCTCAGTTGAAGTCTCTCACATGGCTGCATATGTCAGCTGGGGCTTCAGTCATCTGCAGGCCTGACAGGACAGGATATCCAACAACTCAACTCAAATGGACTGGAGGTGGTGCTGACCACCATGAGGCTTCTCCATGGCTCAACATTTCCACAGCATTGTGGCAGGGATCAAAGAATAGAAGGTGTCAGGGGGCCGGGGATTTAGCTCAGTGGTGCTGCCACCTGTCTCACAAGCACAAGGTCCCAAGTTCAGTCCCCATACCAAAAAAAAAGAAAAAGTGTCAGGTTTCATATGAACCAGTCTGTACAGCCCCAAGTCTATTATGGTTTACATCCAAAACATCCCCCAAAGGCCAAGTCTGGGGTCTTGATTGCCAGCCAATGGGCTTCTGGAATGTATCCATTGATGGATCATAATCTGATGGCATTATTGGTAGGTGATGGAAACAGGAGGTGGAGCCTAGCTGAAGGGAGTGAGTTATAAGGGCACATCCTTGGGGACTCCATCTTGTCTCCACCCCCTTCCTCTCTGGCTCTTTCCCTTTCTGGTGCCATAAGGTGAGCAGTGTTCTTCCACTATGCCCTTTTGCCATAATGGGCTACCTCACCTCATACTCAAAAACAGTGCAGTCAACTAGCTGTGGGCTGAAACTTCCAAAACTGTGAGCCAAGATAAACCTTTCCTCTTTTGTTATTCTTAAGTATTGTGTCACAGTGACAGAAAATGAACACAATACCACTTCCCTTAAACTCTTGATCAACCAAGTCATTGAAGCTGGCCCAGATTCCCTGGAGTAGGGTAAGCAGACTGCATCCTGTGACGCACATACAGTGAGGGAAAGACTTGATAGTGTCATGTCCATTCTGGAGGGTCTCTCCATAGTTCACCCTCTGAACACCAATCTTCCTGTCTGTCCCTTGTGAAATAAATACTCATGCCTCCTCCTGACCTACCCAAAGTCTTGTCTCATGATGGCATTGGCCCAGAATTCAGGATCTCGCCCCATAAATCAAGTAGAAATGTAGATATATTTTAAGACCTTTAAACTAAAGATGCATTATCTAATATCTAGTCTTGATTCAAGGATAGGATAAGACCAATAAATGTTTCTATTTAAAAAATGGGAAAATAAGCAAACCAGGTGCCAGTTAAAACATTCTGAAATTCAGCCAAGCACATGCCATGAGCTCTTTACTTAGTGCCCAGCACCCACCACCCCAGTGATTCTCCATAGCTTTGGTGTCTACATTCTGAGTTATTCTCCTTTTTCCATGGGAAATGGTCTGTTTGCTTGCCTGCCTCCCTTCCCACACAAAGGAAGGCACTTTCTGTCCTTTTCAGACCATACTGGTGTCTCGATTGCAAATCTTATGGATTTCCTATGCTTCTTATTGAAGTTCATTCCATCAGATAAAACCACATCCACAAAGATCTTCAAGCCAGGCCTCTCTGGTTTGGGTTTTCACTGTGCTATGGGATTTAAAAGTCACAGAAACTGTTTTGTGCAACCTGGAGTAACACACTTAAATCTTCCTAGAGTCTTAAAACAGGGTCTTACAGGGCCGGGGATTTAGCTCAGTGATTTCACCGCCTGCCTCGCAAGCGCAAGGTCCCAAGTTTGATCCCCGGTACCAAAAAAAATCAAGAACAGGGTCTTAGAGCCACACCTTTGAGATGATCTTTAAAGGCCACTTATTTTGAATAAAACCTCTCTGGACTGGAACACACTTGAAGAGGTATGGTTTAAGAATCTTTAAATATGGCAAAATATCTTTAGTTCTGCAATTGGAAAACTATCAAGGGTATGGGGGTAAGGGACCTTAGACCAGTTAATGGGATGGCTGGCATGGGGATGGGGTCCTGGGATGGAATGCTGAGGAACATGATTAAGTCCTAAACTCTGGTATCACAGGACTGATTTGGGAGTGTGGCTTTCAGAGTCTTATCCCTATTATTTGAGGCTCAGGAAGATACATGGCTATATTGCCATATAGTTATTGTATACTGATATGATGGTATGAGTGATTACTCACATTTTGGTGTCTGATATTGGTGTGTCTGAGACCCAAGACTCTGAGACTAAAGAACTGAGCAGGGCCTGGGGTTTAGCTCAGTGGTTTCCCCGCCTGCTGCACAAGCGCAAGGACCTGAGTTCGATCCCTGATACCAAAAGAAAAAAAAAAAAAGAACTGAGCAGTCGTAGCTGCATGACCAGGCCCTGGAGTGCTGGGGACAATGTATCGGTAAGAGGACCCCAGGATGGAGGACCAGGGAGCAAAACTTTAAGGAAAGCAATAAAGGTAATTAGGGATGGTTCAGAAAAGGTAACCACATAGAACTATGAGAGCTAAGAGAAAAGCAAAACAGGAAGCTGCCTCAGAGACCAAGAAAGGAGATGGCTGCAAGATGAAACAGGACTGGAGGGAGCCATTTTCTGGGGGATTCCCTCTGTTGCCTGAAATCTCTGTACACAGTCCCTAGTCTCTTCCCACACAAAGAACCAGGCTGTCTAATTCCTGCATGGGTGACTCAGTCCTGAGTCTGCTAAGGGACTGGCTTGCTGCGGAACAGTGGACACAAGAGTACAAGGTATCTGTATCCTTCCTTCTGTCCTATAAGACAAGTGAAGGTCGTACACTTTTGTTTGTTTGTTTTTTTGGTACCAGAGATTGAACTTGGGTCCTTGTGCTTGCGAGGCAGGCACTGGAACCACTGAGCTAAATCCTCGGCCCCTGTAAAACAAGTGAGTGAGGTCACACAGCCAGATTTGGAAAGAAGCAGTTTATTGGAACAAAAGGCCACAAAACATGGAAAACACTTTGTGGGGAGAAAGTAAACTAAGTCAATGTCCTCTGACCACTTACGGAGTATCTTTTTCTATTCCATTTCATGGCAGTGTAAAAATTTTGACTGTTAGTCCTCTGTACCAGCTTCACTCTCAAAGTAAATCCAAGAGGTCAGAAGCCTGCCCAGAACCAGCCTCAGAGTTGGCCTGGAGTGGCAGTCTGTGGTGGCTACACTTTGTCTTCCTGTGCCTGCTCAGCTGAGACTTCTGCTTAAAGCCTTGCCCGCAGGCTCTGCACACGTAAGGCGTCTTCCCCTTGTGTGCCAGCTGGTGTAAAGCCAGGAGGGATTTCTGGATAAAGCCTTGGCCACACTCGCTGCAGACACAAGGCTTCCCTTCCAAGTGGACCCGCTTATGCGTGATTAAAGTGGACTTGTTGCCAAACCCCAGTCCACACTGCCGGCACGTGTAAGGCTTCTCCCTCAAGTGCTTCCTTTTGTGCCTGATGAGCCCAGCCTGGTGGCTGAAGCCTTTGTCACAGTCCTGGCACACGTACGGCTTTTCCCCTGAGTGTGTCCTCTGGTGCGCCACGAGGTTGGACTTCTGGCTGAAGCCGCGTCCACACTCCTCGCACACCATGGGCTTCTCCCCCGAGTGTGTCCGCTGGTGCCGGATGAGGTTGGACTGCTGGCTGAAGCCCCGACCGCAGTCCTTGCACACGATGGGCTTCTCCCCAGAGTGGATGTTGCGGTGCCTGTTGAGGTGTGACTTGAGGCTGAAGCCCCGGCTGCACACAGAACACACAAAGGGCTTCTCCCCAGTGTGTGTCCTGCGGTGCGAGATGAGGGTGGAGTTCTGGCTAAAGCTGTGCCCACACACGCTGCATATGTATGGCTTTTCCTTAGAGTGTGTGCGCTGGTGGTTGACCAGTGTGGTCCTCTGTCGGAAGCAGCGGCCACACTCCTTGCATGCGTAGGGCTTCTCGCCTGAGTGCGTGCGCTGGTGCGAGATCAGGTTGGACCTGTCACTGAAGCCCAGGCCGCAGTCCCCGCATACGATCGTCTTCTCCTCAAGGTGCGTGCGTTGGTGCCTGACCACGGCTGATTTCTGGCTGAAGCCCTTGCCACACTCGCGGCACACGTAGGGCTTCTCGCCTGAGTGCGTGCGCTGGTGGATGATGAGGTTGGACTTCTGGCTGAAGCCGCGCCCGCACTCCACACAGGCATACGGCTTCTCGCCCGAGTGCGTGCGCTCGTGGATGACCAGCGTGGACTTGCGGTTGAAGCCCCGGCCACACTCGCCGCACACGATGGGCTTCTCCCCTGAGTGAGCTTTCTGGTGCCGAGCCAGGCTCTTCTTCAGGCTGAAGCCCTTCTCACACACCCCACACACGTATGGCTTTTCGCCCGAGTGGATGCGCTGGTGGCTCAACAGGTTGGTCATCTTGCTGAAACCCAGGCCGCACTCACTGCAGTTGACCGTCCCGAACCCTAAGACTTCGATGCTCTTCAGCAACTTGTCTGTGTCCTCGGGGGTCCCCGGCGGAGTGGCGCCAGCTTCCATCTCCACCCCACGGAGGGCCTTGACCAGCTGTCTCTGCGGTGGCCTGGAGAACACGCCCAAAGTCCTCCTCTTTGTCTTCCCAAAGGCAGGCTTGGTGCCCTTGCTGTAACCACTCTCGGCCTCTGCACTCCAAGCACACCCCTGTGAGGCTTGCGGCTGCTTCTGCTGGTCTTCCAGGTCCTCCGGGCACAGAGCCCCTGGCAGGACAGGACTTCCTGTGCACAAGCACGTCAATAGCCAGGGAGGCTGGCTGCACAGCACATGCTGCACAGGGAATTTCTGAGCTGAGAAATCCAGGGGGCAGAAAGGACCTGGCTGGAGTTCCGGCTTTGGTTCTGCTGCAGAGAGAAAAGCCCAAGTCAGAATGAAGGCTTCTGAGGGCAGCCCCAGCGATTCTGCCTAAACAGTGGTGAGACTCAATCCTGTTCTTCAAGAGCCTGAAAGTTAGGTGAGATCCAACCAAGACTTCCCTTCTGGCCCATCTCTCCATGTTACATCAGCTACTGCATCCAGAAAACCCACTCCACACCACAGGCTACAAAGCATCACAGGCAGCTCCCGGTGTGTAAATATGCAACAGTCTACAAATCACCACTCCTGTTACCTCCTAACTCACAACCACACACCAGCAGAAGCTCCATGCACAAGTTGTTATTTGGACTAACAGCTGTCGAGCAACAGGACCCAGGTCCCTATGGGACAAAGGGATAACTGACAGCAGTCATTCTGATTGGATAGAGAATCCCTTGGTGTAGGAAGCAGCATAAGAGAGCACTCAGGGAAAGTGCACAAGACACCTGCACTGGCACTGGCCACCAGGTAACAAGTGTGTATGTGAGGGTGACTGTGTGCCAGGCTTTCTACAAGGCAGTGGGCCTGCAGCAGTGCACAACACAAACACAGCCTCAGCCCCCACTGTCTTAAAGAGGCTCCTTCCTGGTGCCTCCGTCCAATCTTTAAGCTCTGCTAACATCTGTAATTACTGTAAATCAAATTCTTCCCAGCAATCAGTGGATAAGGTGGGGGGTGGGCAGGGATATAGCTCAGTGGTAGAGCAACTGTCCAGCATGTGCAAGGCCTCAGGTTCAATGACCAGCACTGCAATGAGAGAGAGAAGTAGGACGAGAGAAGGAGAGAGAGGGGGAAGGAAGGAAGGGATAAAGGAGGGAGAGAAACTAGTATCTGAGAAACTTACTGGATCTACCTAAATATTCTTTTCTAGATCAATGAATGATAAAATTTATTAGAGCTGGGTATGCATCTGTGTTCCAGAATTTTCCATCCTAAACATTCCATCTGAGGGACTTTGGATCCAGTCTGCCACCTCCCACCTTCCCTCCCCACCCAGGCGCTACAGAAGTCCTGCTCAGGTACTCAGGGCCACTTGGGGAGGCTGGCCCAGCGGCTCCCTCTCTCATCTGTGACTCAACCCTGACTGTTTCACTAATTTTCTAACCCAGGCTGCTTGAGGTTCCAGAACTTAGAGCTGACTTGGGATTCCAGACACTTCCCTGAGATTCTGGCAACTCTGGAGCTGGAGGGTGGTTTCAGACACCACTTGCAGGCTGTTTCCCTCTTGATCTGACAGAAGCGGGTGCTACTGACACCCGCATCTGCTCACGCACATGGAAGGCATTCCTGTGTCTATTCTGGGTTATTTGGTGACGGTGATTTTGACAGAGGAAATAACCCCCACCCACCCTTGTGGGAACCAAGGCCTCCAACACTAACTTCTTGCCCACACGGAAAACAGAGGGCTTTTATCTACATGAAGCAGAACTCAGAATTACAGAGAAATTGTTAATTTTAACATCTAATTTAGCTCAGTGGCACCATGCCTGCCTCGTAAGCACAAGGTTCTGATTTAAATACCAGGTACAAAAAAAATATTAACATCTATGTAGAATAATAGAAGAAGCAAGAAAACAAAATTTCAGTTTTCCATAGGTCAGTCTTTTCAGATGGTTGTAAAATGCCATTATGTGTACACTCTAGTACTATTTAGTTTGAGAAAATGAACACAAAATATTATCAGATTAATGAATTCATTTATAAACTTTTTTTTTTTTGAGACAGGGTCTTGGTATGCAGTTTAAGCTTGTCTTGCACTCACTAGGTAGCTCAAGTAGGCTTTGAACTTGCAACTATCCTCCTGCCTCAGCCTCCTAAGTGCTGGGATTACAGGCGTGTACCACCATGCCCAGCAGTTTATAAACTATTGTAAATCTACAGGTGCTCCCATACTGATAAGTTTACAGAGACTAATGAGCGCTGATATAAATTTAAGATTTAAAAACTCAAGAATATCCAATTTCTAATTAAAAACTGAGGACTGAAGCTGTAGCTCAATGATACAGCACATGCTTAGCATGCACAAGGCCCTGGGTTCAAGACAAAATAAGTATCAAAGTCCTAGTGACTTCAATGGCTGCTGTCTGAAGGAAATTGCTCTTGCTTCAAAGAGCTCTAAAGGAAAAGTCTAGCTAACCACAGTCAGGAGCTTCGGCTACTAGGTTATGTGTAAGAGGGACCAAAAGGCACTCAGGGCTTGTTACCTGTGTAAAAAACTTTAACAGCTGGTCTGTACTGTAAATCCCATCTCAGTCTCTCAAATGGCTTTTGAGTATTCCTTCCCTCTGATGGGTTTTGCCTTTTCTCCCTAGCTCTAGTTCTTGTTATATTCTTGTTAATCTTTTTTAGTAACAGCAACAAGAGAAAGGAACCCATAAATGAGGGGGGACAAAAGGCTAGAGGAGGAGAGAAACAGGAGACACCAGTGAGCCCTCTTGTGAATGAAGATGATGGTCCAGAATGTGCTATGCAGGGCCAAGGAGTCAAGAGAGTGGCATCCTTCCCTGCACCTGGTCGATGTCTCTCCCAGCTCTCTGAGCTGCTGACAGGCCTGGGTCCCACTTGTCTGCTTTCCTCCACTCACCTGGACAGGTGGCCAGTGAACATTTTCTCTCTTCTCGCCACATTTCTTTCCCCTGCTCCAGCTGTGTGATGAGTTTTGGTTTAGAAAACGGAATTCCTGCTCACATGAAAAGAAAACAAGGTAAATGTATGCCTATAATCCCAGCACTCTGGATGGTGAGGCAGGAGGATTTCTGCAAGTTTGAGGCCAGCCTGGGCTACATAGTGAGACCCTGCCTCAAAGAAACAAAAAATAAAAAACAAAAAAGTAGGCTCTGGGATCACAGCCCCACCTGAGTGAGGAAGTGCAAAGGGTAGAACACAGACCTGAGGCCGAGATGGGAGGTAAGCTCAGTGAAGAGCCCCTGACTAGTCCATGCTGGGGTGGGGGGGAGGCACCTCTACCAGTTAAAGAAGTTAACCCCTGGCCGGGGAATTAGCTCAGTGGTTCTGCTGCCTGCCTCGAAAGCACAAGGTCCCAAGTTCGATCCCTGGTACCACAAAAAAAATTTATAGAAATGTAAATGTATTGTATACCTAAAATACACCAATAAAAGAATTTTTAAAAAAGAAGTTAACCCCAGAAAAGAGCCCTGACCTATAAAAAAATGGCTTAGAAATACCAGAAATAGAGGGTACTTCTCCCCCCACCCCACATGCTTACTCACTTGCTCTCATGTACCTACCCCTTTTCAACTTTACAAATTCAGACCTTCCCAGGAAAACAGAACACAACATTTTTGCTTTTCAGTCCAACCCAGGGTCCAAGTCAGAAAGCAAGATGGTAGCCCGCACAACCCAAACTTCCCAGCAGCAAGAGTGCACACTTACCCAGAGACACCAGGTGGCTGTAGGTCTCCAGCATCACCTCCCTGTACAGGCTCCTCTGAGCAGGACTCAGCAAGCTCCACTCCTCCTGGGAGAAATCCACAGCCACATCCCTGAACGCCATGTGTGCCTAGAACACAAAGCACAGCCCCACTCACCAGGGAGCCATCCTGGATCATGGCGCAGGTGAGGGGCAAGGAGACCTCTGGATATGCACTTGAGTGTGAAGGTGGCACCATGCCCTCCGAGACCTTTATGCCCCTGTCTCTACCCAGCCAGTGGCATTCAAAATCCTGGGTGGGCTGCTTGGGGCCTTCACACCAAAAGTAAATGCCCTTAAATTTTAGGAACTTTAAATCTAGGCAGAAGGGTAAACAACACAAGGAAAGTAAACATTAAAGCTTAACAGATGTTTTGTTTTTACACATTTAGAACATATGTTCTGTTTACAAACTTATTACTTTTTTTTTCTTTTGGTACTGAGGATCGAACTTGAGACCTTGCACTTGTGAGGCAGGTGGCAGCACCACTGAGCTAAATCCCTGGCCTGTTTACAAACTCAGAAGAACAGGGCTGGGGATTTAGTTCAGTGGTTACGCTGCCTGTTGCCTGCTTCGAAAGCACAAGGACCTGAGTTCGATCCCCCGTACAAAAAAAAAAGAAGATCAAATAGCCTAACCCAGTAATGGTGAACCTTTTAGAGCTTTCAGTGATAACAAATACCTGGCTGTGGCATGAGTGCCATAGGTTCATCACCACTGGCCTAACCTAATCAATAGCGTTGAAGCATTTGGGTGATGGAAATTCTTACTACTCCATACACAGATTAAACTTCAACTGATCCTTCTCACAAATCCCAAAGCCGCAGCCTTCTTGGGCCGGACAGAGACAGATAGGGTATAGGGAGGCACTCAAACCAAGTATCTTGAGGCCACCTCTGCCACCAACTAGTGCCTCAGTTTTCTCACCCATGAGACGTGGGTCACAGTCCATTAAACTTCCTGTCACATGCTGGGTGCTCACAGGGGAACTTGGCCATTTAACCTAGAAACTTGTCTCTACCTGTCCTTGTCCCCCTGCCCAGTTTTATTCTTTTTATCACCTCAGCACTGTTTCAGAATGAAGGACACACTGGGATAGAGCATAACTCTGGGCCTGGGAGCATGGTCTGAGAAAGAAAGGGAACAGAGGGAAGAAGAAAGTGGGAGGGACCCTGGATGAGGCAATGGGGCGCAGAGATGAGTGTCCTACTAGCGAAGGAAGCATGGAGGCCACTGCGGGCAGGGAGGACCCCTGGAGGGATAAAGCACAGCTACTAGTACAATATGGGAAAGGAGCAGCAGCCTCTATAAGGTTTTTAATTTTTACCATGACTAAAACACAAATATACAGAACATAAATTTACTATTTTTACCATTTTAAAGTACACAGTTCAATGACATTAAGGGCATTCACAATGTTGTATACCCATGAAAACTATTCATCTCCAGCACACTTTCTGCATTTCCATACTGAAGGCAGGAACCTCGACTAACTTCCCATTCTCCCCTCAAAGGGGAGAATGAGTGGGTGGCCCCAGTCACCACCATTTTACTTTCCATCTCTATATATTTGGCTCTTCTATGTGACTAATTGGAATCACGGAATATATGTTCTTTTGTTTGGCTTATTTCACTTGCAATCATCTCTCCAAAACTCATCCGCGCAGAAGCATGCAATATTTCACTGCATATATATCCATTGTTTATCTATTCCTTATCAATGGACATATCTTCTGGCTATTGTGAATAATTCTGCCACATACATTGATGTATAAATATCAGTTTTTACTTTCAATTCTTATGAGTATACTGTATATCCAGGGAAGGAATTATTGGACCAGGTGGCGATTCTGTGTTGTTTTCCATACCATTTCCATTAGCAATGTATAAAGGTTCTACTTTCTCTACATTCTCACCAGCATTGACTGCTTTCTATTTCTCTATAACAGCTATGCTAATGGCTACAAAGCGGTATCTAGTAAGTCTCTCTTTATGCCAGTACCAAGGTTTGGATTATTCTTGCTTTGTAGCAAAGTTTGAAATCAGGAACTGTCAGTCTTTCGACTTTGTTCTTTTTCATGATTTAAGTATTCAAAGCTCCTTGAGACTCCTTATGAACTTTAGGATGAATTTTTCTATTTCTGCAAAGCAACAGTCATTGGATTTTGATTACACTGAATCTGTGTATGGGTTTGGTAGTATTGCCGGTTTTCCAATCAATAAACATGTGATGTCTTCCATTTATTTATGACTTCTTTAGTTTTTTCAGTGGTATTTTCTTCCTTCGGTCCTAAAATGGAATTACTATTTTTCTCATTTCTTTTTAGGATTATTTATTGTTAGTGTACAGATACAAACTGATTTTAAGTGTTGCTATTGTATATCCTAGTAGATGTGTGTGTGTATGCATGTGATCTTTATGGTCTTCGATGTATAACATCGTATCTGCAAACAGATTTTACTTTTTCCATTTCAATTCCGATGTCTCCCCCTTCTTACCTACTTTATCTGATTAGAACTTCCAATACTCTGTTGATCATAAGTGGCAAAAGTGGGCATCATTATCCTGTTCTTTTTTTTTTTTTTTCGGTACCAGGGATCGAACGCCCGTCCTTGCGCTTGCGAGGCAGGCGCCGGAACCACTGACCTAAATCCCTGGCTCCTGTTCTTGATTTTAGAATTTTCAATCTTTTACCTTGCAGTTATGTTAGCTGTGAGATTTTCATATATGGTCTTTATTCTGTTGAGATAGTTTCCTTCTATTCCTAGTTTGTTGAGTGTTTTTCATTAAAAGATGAATTTTTTAAAGTGCTTTTCTACATCAAGTGAGATGATCATGTGCTTTTCCCCCCATCATCTGTTAATGTAATATATTACATTTGATATTTTTATGGTGAATTATTATCCTTACATTCCAGAAATAAATCCTACTTGGTCATGGTGTATAATTTTTTTTTCATATGCTGCTGAATTCAGTATTTTGTTGAGGGGTTGTTTTTTTCATCAACTGTTCTTATGTTTGTGGTTTCTTAGAGCGTCTCTGTCTGATTTTGATACCAGAGTAATATTGGTCTCACAGAATGAGGTAAGCAGTGCTCCCTCTTCAATATTTTTGGAAACGTTTAAGGGTTGGTGTTAGTTCTTTAAATATTGGCTATAATTCACAGTAAAGCCACCAGGTCCAGGGCTTTTGTCAGAGTCCAAGCTACCAATTCAAGCATGTTCTAGTTATAGACTTAGCCAGAACTTCCATTTTCTCATGATTCAGTCTTTTTTTTTTAATTAATTTTATTGGTACACTTTAGGAATACAATTCGTTTACATTTATCACTGGGTGCTTGTACCTGTACATGATATATCTTGGTTCTTATTTTTTCTCCATTACCTGTGCACCCTTCCCTATTTACATAGATTTCATTTCCATTTTTTTTCTTTTCTCATAGTTTTTCCTTTCCCTCTTTTCCTTTCCCCTTCCCCTCCCTTCACTTTATGATTCAGTCTTAATGAATTTTGTGTCTAGAAATTTGTCTGTTTCTTCCCAATTACCCATTTTGTTGGTATATAATTCATAGTACTTTTACAATTATTTTTATTTCTGTAAAATCAGTTGTAATGTCCTCATTTTAATTTCTGATTTTAGTAATTTGAGTTTCCCTAGTCAATCTAGCTGAAGGTTTATGAATTTTGAGAAACCATAGGAACAATTTTAAGTTTCATTAATTTCCTCTATTATTTTTCAAATATTTTATTTAACTCTGTTCAAATGTCTGTTATTTCCTTCTTTTTGCTAGCTTTGGGATAAACTTGTTCTTCCTTTTCTATTTCTCTAAGCTGTAAAATTAGGTTGATGCCTGGAGATTTTTTTCTTTTTTAATTTTTTTTTTTTTTTCCTGATACCAGGGATTGAACTCCGGTCCTTATGCTTGTGAGGCAAGCGGCAGAACCACTGAACTAAATCCCCGGCCCATTTTTCTTTTTTAATGTAAGCATTTCAGCTAAACATTCCCTCTAAACATTTTTGCCACATGCCATAGCTTTAGTATGCTTTTTTTGTTTCCCTTTGTCCCTAAGTATTTTCTAATATCCTTTGTGGTTTCTTCTTTTACACATTGGTTAAGAGTAAATTGCTTAATTTCCATACATTTGTGAAATTTTCAGTTTTCCTCCAATTATTGGTTTGTTTTTCTTTTTTTGGTACCAGGGATCGAACTCGGGTCCTTGCACTTGCAAGGCAGGCGGTGGAACCACTGAGCTAAATCCCCGGCCCCAATTATTGGTTTCTAACTTTGTTTATTGTAGTTAAGGATACTTTCTATACTATCTATCTTAATCTGTTGTCCTGAATTTCTTGCATGATTGTCTCCTTTTGTTTTTACTTGATTTTTTTACACAACTTTAAATTTTGTTTTTACTTCCTTGTCTATATTCTATGGCTATTTTCTTTATGGTTACCATAAGACCCATATTTAATGTCCTAACACCCACTGATACTTAATTTGTAGCCTAACATATCGTTTAACCTGGCAAATGTCCCATGTGTACTTATATGTGCATCCCGGTTTTGTTGGGCAGAACATTAGGTGTATTAGATCTAGGTGGTTTATTGTGCAGTCCAAATTCTTAATGCTTTAACTTCTGTCTTATTCTATCCATTATTGAGTAGAATACTGAAATCTGCAACTATTATTGTACCACTGTCTATCCCTTCAATTTTGTCAGTTTTGCTTCAAACATTTGACAGGTCTATTATTAGGTGTGTTAAATGTGTATTTTTTTTATGTCTTCTTGCTGTATTAAGTCTTTTATTAGTAAATCATTTCACTTACAGTCTTTTTTTTGGGGGGGGTACCGGGGATCAAACTTGGGACCTTGGAACTTACAGTCTTTTTTAAAGTAATGTCTGTTTTTTCCTGGTATTACACAGCCATGCCGCTCTCTTTGGTTATTATTTGTATTAAATATTTTATTCTATGTTTTCACTTTAAAACTGTATGTCTTGGGCTGGGGATTTAGCCCAGTGGTTCTGCCACCTGCCTCACAAGTGCAAGGTCCCGAGTTCGATCTTTGGTACCAAAAAACCCAAAAAAAACCCAACTTTATGTTTTTGTGTCTAGTGTTAATCTCTTGTAGATGGTATATTGTTGAATCAGGTTTCTGTTTTTTTAAATCTACTGTACCAAAGTCTGTCTTCTAATTGGAGTTTAATCCATTTACATATAAATTACTGGTGAGAAAGAATTTATTCCTGACATTTTGTTTGTTTTCTACGTGTTTTGTAGCTTTTTTGACTTTCATTCTCTGTATTACTGTCTCTTTTCAGTCTTTTTGGGGGGGGGGAATAGAACTTGGGATCCTTTCAGTCTTTCATTGATTTTTTTTAGTACAACTTTTAAATTCTGTTATTTCCTTTTCTATTATTTTATGGCTATCTTTATGGTTATCACAAGGACTACATTTTTTTTTTACACGTTTGAAACTTTATTTTTTTATGTCAAAACACTTATTGGTACATTTTAGGACTAGATAATGATGACACTCAGTGTGGGGAATTTCCACCTGTACATGATACACCCTTTTTCCCATCCCCCTCCCCTTAAGCCCCCTCCCCTCCCTACGTACAAAAGCTTTGTTTCCATTTTTTGCTTCTATTTTCTTTTGTTTTTCCCCTTGTCCCTTCCTTTCTCCCTTTCTCCTCCTTTGTTCCCCTTCTCATTTATACATTTTCTTCCCATTTCCCAATATCTATTGTACATTTTAGTTCTTATTTCCACTTTTGATTACTCATACCAGAGAAACAATGTGGTATTTAAACATGAGTGCCCAATTTATTTCACTTAAGAGTATGGTCTCAAAGTCTGTCCATCCAGCTATAAGTGTCTGAAGCTCATCCTTCTTTATGCCAGAGTAATTTTCCATTGTGTAAAAAAACCTCACATTTTCTTTATCCATTCGTTGATAGGCATTTGGGCTGTTTCCAAGATTTAGCTATTACAAACTGTACTGCTATATTGCTGTGCATATCTCACTGTGGTATGATGCTTTTAATTCTTTCAGGAAGATACCAAGAAGGGGAATATCTGGGTCAAATGGAACCTCTAGCTTTAGTTTTTTGAGAAATCACCACACTGAGTTCCACAGTGGTTGCATCAGTCTACACTCCTACCACAGTGGAAAGGGTTCTTTTTTCCCCTCAGCCCCTCTAGCATTTGTTATTGGTTTTTTTTTTTTTTTTTGGTACTCTTTCTGGAGTGAAGTAGATTCTCAGTTTTGTTTTTATTTGCATCTCCCTATTGATTTCCATAGTGGTTGTATCAGTTTATTTGCTTTTGTACAATAAAAAAGGGTTCTTTTTTCCCCTCAGCCCCTCTAGCATTTGTTATTGGTTTTTTTTTTTTTTGGTACTAGGAATTGAACTTGGGTCCTTGCACTTGCGCAGCAGGCGGCAAAACCACTGAGCTAAATCCCCAGCCCATATGGTTGATTTTTAATAACAGCCATTCTTTCCAGAGTGAGTTGGAGCATTGTTTTAATTTGCATTTCACAAATGACCAGTGATGTTAAGCATTTTTTCATATATTTATTTACTGTTTCTACTTTTTCATCTGAGAAGTGTCTATTCATTTCAGATGCCCATTTTTGGATTGAGTCTTTAAATTTGAGGGGTCTTATTTTTTTTAGAGTTCTTTATATATTCTAGATAGTAGATGAGGACTACATTTAACATTCTAAAGTTCAAAGCCTGCTGAACTTATTATCAGCTGAACTTCAATAGCATTCAAAAACTCTGTTCATCTACAGCTCTTTCCTCATCTCTGTTCACTTACTGACATCACAAGTCACACCTTTGTGCACTGTGTGGTCAAAAACAAAAACTGGGGCCGGGGGTTTGGCTCAGTGGTTTCGCCGCCTGCTGCGCAAGCACAAGGACCCGAGTTCAATCCCCAGTACTGGAAAAAAAAAACAAACTGATTACTGTTGTTTTTTTAAAAAAATACAATAGTCCCCTGAGGCATGCAGAAAACAAAGTTAGTTATTACCACCTACATATTTACCTTTAGCAGAGAAGTTTCTTTATATGGCTTCAAGTAACTGGTGCCCTTTCATTTCAACCTTAAAGACTCTTGTTAAAATTTCAAGCAGGGTTAGGTCTGTGGAAGCAAGTTCCATCAGCTTTTGATTATCTGAGAATGTCTTCATTTCTCCCTCGGTTTTGCCAGATACAGGGTTCTGTTTTGGCAGCTTTGTTTTCTTCTTTTAGCACTTTAAATATTATCAACCCAGTGCTTTCTGATCTGATTTCTAATGAGAAATCTGCTGATAATCCCACTGAGGAGCCTTTGTACATAGGACTGCTTTTTTCTTACAGTTTTTTTTGTACCAGGGATTGAACTCAGGATCTTGTGCTTGCGAGGCAGGCAGAGGCACCACTGAGCTAAATCCCTAGCCACAGCTTTCAAAATTATCTCGAATGTTTCTGGCTTTTGATGTTTTGATTCTAATGTATCTCGGATAGGTTTCTTCCACTTATACTTTGTTGAGCTTGAATCTTCATATTCATGTCTTTCATCAAATCTAGGGAGCTCTGTCCATTATTTCTTTAGACAATCCCTCCTTTTCTCCTTTTTCCGTATTCCCACAGGTGGTCCAATTGGTGGTCTGGGGCAGATCCCTTACAGTCTGTGACTTTTCCTTCAGGCTTTGTCTGTGTTCCTCAGACCTCATTTTAACTGCTTTATCTTCAGGTTCACTGATTCCTTCTTCTGTCTGCTCAAATTTGCTTCTAAGACTAAATTACAAGACATCCAAGGAAGAATAGACTGAAATGAAAGCATTATGGGAACTGAAGAAGAGCCAGTAAATAAGAGAATACAAAAGTGAAGAAAGAAGTAAAAAGGACCAGAGGGAAAGAAGTTTGGAAAGTGGATATTTCCATAATTACTACAAAAACAAAAACAATGAAACAGAACAAATATTTTAAAGTATAATCCAAGAAAACATTTTAAAAACAGATGACCAGAATCTATATATGAAAGGCCTATGACATAAGATAGAAACGTTGACTCATAACTCCAAGACATTCACTAAAAGGACCATCATTAGACTTAAACATACCAGAATTCCATCAGATTGTTCAAAAGTGTGGCTCAACTACTGTCTATTACAGTGGGACTATAAAAGGGGACAGCCTCAAAACAGTGCAGCAATTCCACAATGTTTTCTTTTCTTTTCATGATACAGTACTAGGGACAGAACCCAGGGCCTTCACACTGAGCTACATCCTCAGCCCCCTCACCTTTTTTTTCTTTGAGAAAGTTCTCGCTAAGTCACTAAAATCACTAAATCACTAAGTCACTAAGTCACTAAATTGCCCAGGCTGGGCTTGAACTTGCGATTCACCTGCCCTGGCCTCCCAAAGTGCTGACATTACAGGTAAGAGCCACCATGCCCAGCTCCTCAAAAAATTAAAAATAGAATTATCATGTGACCCACCATCCCACTTATGGTTATATGTCCAAAAGAACTGGAAGCAATAACTCAAATCTGTATTTGTACACTTGTGTTTATAGCAGCATTACAATAGCCAGAAAGAAACAACCCAAGTGTCCATGAACAGATGAATGGATACGCAAAAAGTGGTACATATATACACACAATAGAATACTATTCAGCCTGAAAAGGAGGAAACTCTGAAACACAGTATAATACAGATGAATCCAGAAGATACTGTGCTAAGTGCAATAAACCAGAAACATAAATATTCAAAACAAGAAATAACAAATGGGAAATACTGAATCACCAAAAATTATTGCAAATATATACAAATAAATTTGTGCACCTAGATGTAGTAAATAATTTCCAAGGAAATATAACCAAAACTGACCATAGATGGTCACAAGGAAATTGTACTAAACCTTCCACCTAATAGTCGCAATGCTCCAAATACTGTCCTAAGCACTAATAAAGAAAATTTTCCCTTTCTTTTTATAAATCAAGTAAAAGACCAGGGCCTAAACTCAATGACAGTCCAAAACAAGAAAATTACAGATCAGTTATTCTTTACAAATACTGAAGCAAAATGCTTAATAAAATACTAGGGAACATAGTAACACAGTGAGTTCAAGGCCAGTCTGAATTACATAACAAGACCCCGACTCAAAACACCAAATAAAAGTAATAAATAAAAAAATCATTCTGCACTTAACCACTAGGAGTTCCTTCAGGTCGCCTTGGCTTTGTGTCTGCTTTAAGCAGTGACTGTAACAGGTAACACTGTGCCACATATAGGCTTAAATCTTAAGATGGCTAGACTACTCTCACTCTTGGGAGCCTCGGTAAGAAGTTCAACTACCCTGCTGGAGATAGCATGTAGTGACGAGTCAGTCCCAGTGTCCCAGGTGATCCCCAGCCTTTCAGCCAACCCACTGAAGTGCCTGAGTGAGAGGAACCACCTTGCATAATACAACCCTAATGAATCCCCAAGTGACTATAGCCTCATTGAGATCTGTAAGCCGGGTGGAATGGTGACCTGGACCACAGAGGAAGCAGCAGGGCTGAGAGACTGGTAAAGTCCAAATTTACTGATTGTAGACAGTGTCTAAGAAAAAGAAAGGAATCAAGGATAACTCCAAGGCTAAACAATCTAAAGGAAGAAGTCGTCAGGTCTCTGCCTCACTTGAAAGAATTACCTATGCTCCACTGGGTGGAGAAAGCCTGGGATGCCCATGAGATGTCTAAGTGGAAATGTGGGGAGACAGTAAGAGACTTGGATGTGGGGTTGTAGGCAGAGAGCTGGTGTCTAAAGCCTTGAGTCAACACCGCCACTTGTACAAAAGTCCATACCTGTATCATGAATACAGCCAGAGAGCATGAGAGGTCTAAAAACTTCAGAGGACCATCAAAGGCATAAGAGAAAAAGAGCCAGCAAAAAGGACAGAAGAGGAGCAGCCTATGAGGTAGGAAGACAACCAGGAAAATCAGAAGCCAAGAGCAACTATATGAAGGATATTTTAAAGACGAAGTAAGCAACTCTGTAAAATATGATTGAGAACTGTGGCATTTAGTCAGAGGGAGAATAAAAGTGATCTTGACAAGGATTATTTTTTTTGGTAGGCAGAACTGAGAATTCCTTACTGACAACAAATACAGATAATTCTGTCAAGGAGTTTAACCTTTAATGAAAGGAAAGGCAAAGAGGATGTATAAAGCAGAAATGGAGACAAAGGGAAGGAAAAGGGATTGCAAAGGATGCACAGGTGGAAGGATCAAGAGCCAATCAAATGGGATGAAAGTCAGGAAAGAACAAGGAGGCAAGGAAAACTCAGAGGTCCAGCTTACATCATGAGGCAGAAGCTGCAGCGGTCAGCAAGGCCCAAAGAAACAGGAAGAGAGAGAGGCAGAGATGGGGAAACCATCATGCTGAGTTGAGATACTTCTCCCTCCCCTGCTTCTGACCAGAGCTGCTCTAACTAGGGCCAAAAGGTTTTTTTAAAAAAATTGGTCAAAACTAAATTTGGACAAGGTACTAAATAATATTAATGAACTAATAATTTTGTTAGGTGTAACACTGAAATTGTGCATCTGTTGAAACTGTATGTTTGTTAAAGTAAAACTGTAGATATGTCCTTTTTGTTTTGTTCTGTTTTGGGGTTTTTTTTTTTCTATTCCTTTTTTTGGGGGGGGTACTGGAGCTCAAACTCAGGACCTTGTGCTTGCGAGGCAGGCGGCAGCACCACTGAGCTAAATCCCCAGCAGTTTTGGGGGTTTTTTGAGACAGCCTCACTATCTAACCCAGGCTGGCCTCAAACTATGATCTTCTTGCCTCAGCCTCCCAAGTGCTGGGATTACAGGTGTGTGCCACCATGCCTGGCTGTGTATACATTCTTATGTGTTAGAGATGCCCACTGAAGTATCTGCAGGTGAAATGATGTCGCCGGATTTGCTGCATGTCATTCTAGCAGGAAAGAGTTAAGTGAGGGCAACAAAAGCCACAGGAAGTGAATGCAGACAGACAATCACAGCTTCCAATAAGCCCTGTGAAGGAGCAGTCTGAGCCAATGCTGAGAAGAGGAATGCTGGGGCAGGGATGGAGAGGTAATGTACAGGGGCAGCAGGTCTGAAGAATATTCCCTGTGAAAATGTCACCCTCAGATTGGGCCAGTTTTCCTAGAGGAACCAGCTGGGGCTCTGATCTCCTGACAGGACACTGTAGGATATGCAGTGTCAACACTGAGCTACTCAATTTGGATGCAAAAGGTAAACGACACTCACCTGAAGCTCAGCAGCCAACTACCTGGGAGTCCTCCCCTTCCCCAGCAGGCAGTCCTCCCTGGGCATCCAGGGGCTAAGGGAAGCAGAATAAGAACCAAAGAAAAAAAGGTTCAGGAAAGTCACCAAAAGTCTTCAAGCTCCGATAGGGTGGCACCTCCTTTTTCTTAAAGACATCAAGAATGAATCTGGCACAAAATATGGGGTTTTTGGGGGGGGGGTACCGGGGATTGAACTCAGGACCTTGCGCTTGTGAGGCAGGTGGCAGAACCACTGAGCTAAATCCCCGGCATCTGGCACAAAATAGAAGGAAAGAATTGTGGGCCACAACCCATAACTGGGATGTAGTCAGGCTGCCCTGACAAGCTGCTGTCACTGAGCATGAGATGGTCCTCTCTGCACCTGTTACCATAAACAAAAGGTAAGACCTATTGGGCACTGAGTATACAGCAGAAACTGGTCCAGGCACCAGAAGAGATTGACTTCATTTTATCCTTATAACATTCCAATGAAGCAGAAGCTCCTATCATTTTATACATGAAAACATTAAGGTGCAATAAGATCAGTATCCTGGTCAAGGTGACAGAGCTATTAAGTGACAGCTGGTAGAAATGTGGCTGTAGAGACTTGAAGGTTCTAAGGATTCTGTGTGTGCCCACTTTGAGATAAACCAGGATTGGTCATGAGGTCGTTAAGTGTTTAATCTGGGTAACAAGTCTGTGGAGTTCTAGCTACTTCTGGCTATCTGAAATTTGTCCATAATAAAACATTAAAGTGGGATTTAAAATCCTGTGATTTTTGTGGTCAGTGATTGTCGTCAGGAACTTGGAAAATCTTGGGAGTGGGCCCCAGCTCAGCTTCCTCCTACAAGGCGGGAACCCAGGGGCAGCCAGACAAATTGAGACTCTAAGATTGAGGCACTGCGGCCACTGCACATCCATCGAACCTGAGCTTGATCGGCTAAGCTCCCCCTGCCCACTCTGCCTCAGCAAGACCTGAGGGTAGCTGGGGTCAAGGACTTCCAGCTCCCAACTTGACAAACCTCTGGGACACAGGGGCCTAGGAACAGTCCCATGCACAGTCTAGAGAATATCAAAGCCCGGTAACTTAGGGCATGAACGACCCCTTTCTCTAAACCGCAGTTTCAACTTAGGCCGACCCTGTCCCCACCCACAAGAATCTTCGGACAGAAGGCCTGAGGCTGGCACCCACCTACCACCCAGTTTCACGGCTGAGTTTCACTCAACTCCCCCGAGACGCGCGCCTACACCTCTGAAATAAGACATCCGGGAGAGCATGGCCGAGCAGCCGGCGCGTCCCCTCATACTTCCCTCTCTGAGCATCCGCACCGACCCCGGTCTCTTCCCACAGACCAGCCTTTCAGGACCTTCCTTTCCGGGCAGAAAAGGGTATGGCTGCAGCAGGGATCCCGAGTTGAAGCTTCACTCACCAGCGCCACCAAAGAACAAGGAATCGCTCCAGTCACCAGCTGGGGAATCGCCTACAAGAGGGCGCCGGGACTACACCTCCCAGGATGCTCCGCTCAGAGTCACACCTCCCAGGATGCTCCGCCCCTGAGCGACATCTCCCAGGTTGCACGGCGCAACCCGAAGCGCGATGCTCCTGGGTAGCGTGGCTCTGTCAGCTGGAGAATCGCCACTGTACATCTCCTTTCTCTTAAAACCGTGTTCATAAAACATGGAGCCACCTAGGTAAAGGTCCTCGCTCTGCCGAGACCTTCTCGCTCAATCCCTCTGCTTCCAAGACATTCCTCAGTGACTCCCACAGTGAATTCCGCATCCTGTTTCGGCCCACCTTGCCGCGAGCGGAAGTGACGGGTGAGGGGTGCTGCTTTTGGCTTCCAGGGGTATCTGGTGTCTGTGGCGACCAGACTTAACTTTTTATCTGGTTGGTTTCTGGGTTCACACCTGGTACACCGGGTTTCTGAGACCGCGCCTGGAAACAAAGGCCCTCTGAGGGTCCTCTGAATGCTTTTTCCTCTTATTGGAATCAAGGAAATCACAGGTTATATATTCTTCATCTCCTGGAGACAGAAGCCTCAATCTTAGGCCATGGCTTGGAGCTGCTCCTGGTCATACCTGTTGATCTGGTTCTGTGGAACTTTGTACAGGATTTTGGTCGAGAAGAGGGCTATGCAACAATTTGGGAGCTCAAGGAAAGCCCTTCTTCATTCCTGGGAGGGCTTTTCCTCCTGGGGACCCACTTTCCTCAGATCCACTGTGATGTGATATGACACTTCATCCTCTAGGAAGGCCAAGGAAATGGCTGCATGGCCAGGAGATGAGAATAACCTCAAATTCCTTCTTAGTTCTTTAAGGATGAATCTTTTTCTTTTCTCTTACCTTAGGCTGCATTGTTCATAATGAATTTAGTTCAATTCTGACCCAAAAGTACCCAGTCTTGCAGAGCCCATTCCTTGACATCTTTCTCTGCTCCACCCAAGACTTGCTCACCAAGTCACTCAGCTTTTAGATCTCCAATGATGCACATGTTAGACCATTTGATAATTGTGCCATTTGAGGCTTTGTCCCAGTTTTCTTCAATATTTTTTTTTGGTACCGGGGATCGAACTCGGGACCTTGCACTTTCAAGGCAAGCACCAGAACCACTGAGCTAGATCCCCGGCCTGTCAAATTTATTTCTATTGATTTGTCTTCAAGTTTATTTAACAGCTTCAATATTTTAAATGCATTTGGTGAATTTTTAAATTTCGTTTATTATATTTTTAGTTCTAGAATTACCACTTCAGCTGGGTGTGGTGGCATACGCTTGTAATCCTAGCATTTGAGAGACTGAGACAGGAAGACTGCACTGAGTTCAAGGCCTGCCTGGGCTCCATAGTGAGTCAAGGCCAGACTGAACTGCATAGCAAGACCCTGTCTAAAACAACAAACTAAAAAACACACTTAGGTTTTTTTCCCCACAGTTTCTGCTTTTCAGCAAGGAATTCCACCCCTATTTGTTCATTTAATATCTTTAAAATAGGTGCTGTAAAATCTTTGCTAAAAACCTCTGGGCTATGTCAGGATTTTTTTTTGACAGTGTGACACACTTGTGTTGAGTGAGCCAAAAATAGTCCAGATTTCTTGTATATGACAAAAATTGTCAAGTGTACACCTCATAGTATGTAGTAAGTAGCTACATTTATTGAAGATTATGGGACAGTATCAGGAACAGGGAGAAGGGTGAAGGAAAAAAGGGACTGGTGGGCGAAAGAACAGGACTCGAGTGTAAAGGAGAAAAAAAAAAAAGGGACTACTCACAGGCTTCTGGTATTTAGAGGGTCAGACACCACTGATCCAAGGTGCCTCCCACTGTCTTTCTCTCTAATAGCAGAAATTTCTGCGACCTCCTAAGCTTAAACCTGGATAATCATTAGGGTGGTGTTTGGCTTATGGTTGAATGGAGAGAAGGGAAGTGGCTCATACAACTTCCCTGTTTTAGGATTATAGAAACATGGATAATCATTAAGGTGGTGTGGTTTTTACAGTTGAATGAAGGAAAGGGAGTGATTCACTGAGCATCTTGTTTCTAACTGTACTATTCCCCCCAAGAGCCCCGGTCCCTCAAATTCTTTGAGGGGAGTAGAAAGAAAAGTTCCATCTTCTATAGCTACTTCTGATGGAATAGGAACATTGGCCCTACCTACACAGAGACCAAAGAACTCTCTTCCTGACTGATCCAGGAGTTCAAGGGAGTGAGCTCTTCCTCCGAAGATTTCTTGAACCATTGACGTGAAAGCAGGTTCTGATAGCAAATTATGGTCACCACCAGTAGTTTGATGGCTTGTCTGGCACTTTTAGAGTTCATCTGTGTGATCACTTGGGGTTTGGCAGTCTCTAGGTGAGAATAAATTTTACCAAGAGATTAAGGTACATGTGACTAATGCATGAACAATGAATGGAAAGGTAGGTTGAAGAAGGAGTGTGGTGCATTAAAGAATGGCCAACTTGGAATGCCCAGCTGAACTGAATCAGCATGGTCTGGATGTGGAAGACCTCTGTGAGGATTGTTGCCAACAGCATAAAAAGAACTGAAGGGGAAGATCATTGGCTGCTGATTTTCTTGGAGAAGCTTGGTTTTCCTGATGCAAACTTGGCCGTTCTCGGTTCTCATCAGAGGAGGATCTCGGGGCCTCGCTGCTGCTGAGAATAGCTGCTGTTCTTGTTAGGGGAGCCCTGATCTTTGCCTTGAGCATCACTTCCTGGCTCCTGTGTAGATCCCTCAGCCTAGTGGTATAAATCCTTCACCCTGCTGGTGCAGGTTTTCTAGCTTCCACTGGCCTTTGGGCCTTCTGGGTGCAGGTCCTCCATACGGACTTGTGTAAGACATTGCCATGGGCTCTACTCCTCTGGCATACTCATGCAGGACATTGCCTTGGACTCTAGGCCTCCAGCTGGATTTCTGTGGACACTGCTGTGGGATCCAGGCCCTCGGCTGGCTCCTTCATGTCTCTGGTGTGTGGACAGATCTCTTGCACTCCTCTGCATTTAACTTTTTGGGTGAATATTATAAAATAATCCTATAAATTATGTGTCCTGTATTAAATTTATTCCTTGCAGACCCTGACTACAACAAGGAGCCACATCAGATGCCTTTCTTAAGGGATTGAAATAGACCTTTCTACAGCTGTAACTTGATCTACTCCATAAATTTCATCTGCTTTACTATCCTCAAGTCCTCTGCCTCCTTACATGAGTGGGACCATATTTTTGGCCCCACTGTCCCATATCATGTCCGGGAAAGTGTGAGACTTACGAGTTTCCCGTCTCTTGAGGTCACAGTTTTATGCCACCTGTGGTCCAATGCCTGACCTCCTACTTTCTCTTTTTATCTATGGTGGGAGTAGCAGTATGGTACCAGTTATTCTATCATGGCCAGCAGAACAAATTCACTTGGTGACTACTTTAAGTCACAAAACTTGTATTTATTTTTCCGACCATCGTGAGACTAATCTTCACATAGGCAACTCATTTTTCAGAGTCAATAAGGTCACAGATGCATAAGGAACTTTTTTAGAGAGTTGGATTTGTCCTTCTCTGGAATACCAGTGAGGTATCTTTTATTAGGGTATTCTACAAAAACTGTGATAAGGTTATTCCATTAAAAATGTTAATGTATGGGCCAGGGATTTAGCTCGGTGGCACCGTGCCTGCCTCACAAGCACAATGTCCTGAGTTCGATCCCTGGTACCAAAAAAAAATTTATGTTTCTGCCTGACACCACAAAAATATTCCTCAAGAGTTAATAACATTCAGTAATCACCTTTGAGGTAAAATGAAATTAATAGGTTAGAAATGTTAAATGTATATGAGAAAAGGATTTGGGAATCTTTTTGGAGAAAAGGATTCTGACCCTGAACAATGGGTTATGTCATTATTTATGACAGGGCTGTAAATCAGATGTCTCACTGCCAGGCGGCTCTGAACCTCTGGTGGTACAAGCCAGGGGGAATACGCTAATCCTCGTTCATCAGTGTGCTGTTGAAGTACAGACCTCCACAGAGGAGTTGGAGATAGGTATACTTTCCATTGTTTGGTGTCCATGTTTCTCTCTTAGTTTTGAGTGTGTGGATTTAGTAGGATACATTTTTTTGTTTTGCTTTAGACGATAGGGATTGAACCCTGGGCCTGATGCAGGCCAACCACTTGCTCCAACACAGAGCCGCTCCCCAGGCCCTACAGGATACGCTTGAAACCTGTCCCTTATGATGACAACTGAGGTACCCATAACCTGTGTCTGCTATACAAACAGAACAGAGAAGCTTTAAGTCGTGTGCTGCAAAAATGCTGACAAGGAACTGATTTGGGGTAGACATGGGCCCAACAAGGTGGCACCTATGAGCTAGCTGTCCTGTCTGGTGCTATTTGGGTACTTGCTTCTGACTAGTAAAGTTCAAGAACAAGCCAATGGGTTATCCAAGGTGGAGAAACTCAACTGTTTAATTTTCTGTTAGAAGACTTGGTTTGACCTAATAAGGAGCTGGTTGAGGATTCTCTACAAATGATAGTTATTTTTTGTCCTTGTTCCTAATCGATCCTGCCACATGTATTGTTCATAGGGTGTTAATGCTTTGGCAAAGCTGCCAACTCACTAGTTCTAACCACAGATGACCTTGTATCAAAAGGAAAATGAGGTGACTCTAATGGACACAAAGAAATCCTGGGAGAACAACACTGAAAGCCAAATAGGGGTATGGAACTGGGAATTGATAATGTGAGCTTTTGTGTGGTCACCTCATCATTTTAGGAAAAAGACCAAAAGAAGGGGCAGGAAAAAGGGAATATTCCCTCCATAGCACCCTTGCTTGGAAGATAATAAAACAGTATTGGGCCGGGGATTTAGCTCAGTGGTTCCATTGCCTGCCTTGAAAGCACAAGGTCCCGAGTTCGATCCCTGATACCAAAAAAACAAACAAACAGTGTTGTCTTCCTTCAGCTCTGTCTGTTAAGAACCATGAACTCTGAATGACCCTAGAAGGCCAAATCTTCTGGTCCTAATTCAAGAATTTTTCCTGACCTCTGAAAAGTGGAGCCTCTGTCAGCCAATCTGATAACAATTCTGTGGATTCATTTGACCCATCCAGAGTGCAAGCTTTCAATCCTTAAGGAGCAGACCACATTGAAACACTACTTTCTAGCATCTTAAATCATCTCAATTAATGATTCAAGAAATTGTTTTAGTGGTGCATGTAAGAAACTCAACCTTTTAAGCTCTGGCCATTTTTGTTTTACATTAGAAACAAAAATAACACTATATATGAAAACCAGACCTCTAACCATAGCAAATTAACTATTAAATGACTTTGTTATTGAAAGAAAAAGTTTAAAAGTAAAATAAAGTATTCAACCCACATTAGAAGAGCAGAGTAAAAAGAAACACAAAAGAAAGGAATGAAGTAGAAAACAGTGATATTGTGGTACTGCTTGGGAAGCAGTCGGAGCATCTGGCATGGAGAGCACTCAGTACCTGTCGGGTGGGATACATGCCTGCCCTTCTCACTGCCCCTCACCCATCTGCCAGGCTAACCTTCCAGTGGCTTCTCACACAGTGCCATCACTTGTCTGTTACTGACAGTGCGGCTTATCTCTGTTTAAAGAAACATGCCACGCAGCAAGTGACTTTTATATTAAAAAATATTTCAGGTTCAGTCCACTGAACCTTAATGCAATACTTTCATATACCCTCCCCTCTATATTGCAAGTTGACAGTCAACCTGATAATGTGTTTCATAGCCTTTCCTTCTATGAGTACAGGTTCTATCTAGACCAGGATTGGGGTTAGTTGTCTTGTCCCTAGAATATGAAATATTTCTGTCTTTTGTTTTGGTTTTGTCTTTTATGACAATCTGGAGTATAGCTGGACATTTCTTGGTGGGGGGCCAGTCTGTGTACGGTCTCCACATGATTATGTTCAGGTTTTCCAACCCTGGTCCATCCTTAGGGAACTGGAGTTGGTTCCTTCCCAGGACACATCATGTTCAGTGGTGCCCAATTTCTGCCTTGTACTGTTAGTTACTGAGTTTTCCCTGGTACCACGGACCATCTCTGGGAGTTGCTTTCAGACCGTGCATCCATTTGTGATTCTTACTATTCTAAGTTATGATTTCCAATGCCAGCGCTCTCTCTGTTGCTACAAGGCATTCAAGTCGGGTCCTACTTTAAAAGGAGAAAGCACAGGGCCAGGGATTTAGCTCAATGGTTCTGCCACCTGCCTTGCAACCACAAGGTCCTGAGTTTGATCCCTGGTACCAAAAAAAGAAAAAAGAAAAAGCACAGTATTTGGTTGACAGTGAGAGGTGACCATTGGTCATAGTGTCATGGAGCTGTTCAGAGATGCGAAGAGCCCTGAGAGCTTGGAGAAGGTAACCTGCGGCCAGGGGTGGCAGGAGGGAACCTGGGGAGGGTGACATACACCTGTAATTCCAGCCCTCAAGGAAGCTGAGGCAGGAGGTCCCTGCAAGTTCAAGATCAACCTGAGCTACATAGTGAAATCATGTCTCAAAAAAAAAAAAATTACCATTCTATATAGGAAAAGCATGTCCCCCCACCCAGCATGGGAGATTGAGGGTTTCAGTTCGCATCCAGCCTAGGGTTATGGGCCTCCAGGTATACTCTGTTACCTGTGCAGACTGACCTACCTGTTGTGGTTATTATCATTTAATTATAATAGCCAACATTTCTAACATGTTTACCATGTAACAGTTACTATTTTAGCTTTTATTTTTTTCTTTGAGACAGGGTCTCCCTCTGTAACTCAAGCTGGTCTTGAACTATGTAGTCCAGGCTGTCCTTGAAATTGTGGTGATCCTCCTGCCTCAGCCTCCCTAGTGCTGGGATTACTGGCATGTGCCACCATGCCCAGCACAGTTACTATTTTAATTTTTAATTTCATTTGATAATATCAGTAGCATAGCATAATGGTAGATGTGTCTGTACTTTTTAAAATGAGAAAATGTATTTTTACTCTAATGTGGGTTTTGTTTGGTAGATTCAAAACCTTCAGGTGTTGGCACATGCCTGTAATCTCAGCTACTTGGGAGGCTGAGGCAGGAGGACTGCAAGTTCAAAGCCAACCTGTCTCAAAACAAAAAACAAGAAGGAATGTAGCTCAGTGGTAGGGAGCTTGCCTAGCATTTGCAAATTCCTGGGTTTGATCCCAAATACTGGGGGCTGGAGGTGGGGCCTTCAAACTATGAGACCTATGAAAGGAACGTCTGGGCAGAGGCGATCTCTCCAGTTCTTGAGGAAATCCATGCCAGTGGAGACCCTGAAATCCAAAAGCAATGCTTTTTGAAATGCATTGAACATGTGCCTGGTTCCCAATATAGCTATGAAGCTGAGGGTATCAATCATAAGAAACAGGCACAACAGATTTATGGTTAACTGTTAATTTTCACAAAGCTGGAAGAGACTAGAATTAGGGTTCACCACCTAGTTGCTAATTTTTTTTTTCTTTTTTCAGTACCGGGGATTGAACTCAGGACCTTGCGCTTCCAAGCAGGCGCAGCACCACTGAGGCACACCCACCCCCCAGCCCCACCCCCCGTTGATGGGAGACACAGGTGAGGAATCCAATTTCTTGCCCCTCCAGACTTAACTGGCTGTGTGACCACAGAAAAGCCAGGTGACCCTTCTGGGCCTGTTTCCCCATCTGTAGTGTGTGTCTCCAGGGCCCTTCCCGGGATGGAAGGCTGTTCTTTGACCTTTCACCTGAGGTCCTCCAGGTAAAGCCTGGGCGGATCCTGCGTGCCGCTTCCGGCCCATGCCAGCAGGGACCGCCCGAGACAAGGTGCTCCCGGAGCAGTCCCGGCTCCTGGTCCAACCTGGCAGTCCCTGGACAGTGGCTATGCCTGGAGGATCTGCGGCCCCTGCATTTCTCCAAATATTTGTGAGATTGAAATTTTTGGTCTATTCTAACAATGGATAATATTGAAGAAGAAAGAAAAAGACACTATTAGAATTCCATAATAATACGCTGCTTTAAAATGCAGATGAGTTTTAAAAGCCATTCTCTTGGAGGGGGGGCAATATTGTCCCAGAGTGCTAAGAGCAAGGATTCATCCATTCACTCAGCAGGGGTTTGGTTTGGTTTTGTTGCTAGAAATGGAACCCAGGGCCTTTGCACTGAGCTTGTCCCCAGTGCTCTTCTATTTTATATTTTGAGACAGGGCCTCGCTAAGTTGCTAAATTGCCCAGACTGGGCTCAAACTTGTGATCCTCCTGGCTCAGTCTCCAAGAGTACTGGGATTATAGGCATGAACCCCCACTGCCAGCTTTGCTCAATTTTGGGGGCATGTACTATGTGCCAGCTACTGTATATATTTTTTGGGGGGGGGTACCGGGGATCGAACTCAGGATCTTGTGCTTTTGAACCTAAATTAAGCTAAATCCCTGGCCCCAGCTACTGTATGTTTTATACTACTAGCAAAACACAACCCTTGTCCTCATCAAAGCTTCTATACGATGAGCATTTTAAAAATAGCACACTGAAAGTATTTGGGGCGTCATAGCCTGGGACAGCCTGGTTGCTGACCAGGTGTGGACCTTAGAGACCCAAGTAGCATCCAAGGGACACTGCTTGGGCAAGGCCTCTGCATAACTGCTCAGGGGTTTCCTGCTAGCAAAATGTGGTGATTGAGAAAACAACTGTTGAATGAGGTAAATGAACAGACATTGTCTTGAAAGGACGAGAATATGACCTTAGTTTGCTTGGTCTGTCAGCGCAGAAGGACCTCAGTGACCAAATGAATGGGGCGGCTGCAGGGCTCTTTGGAGACCATGCAGAGTCTAGAACTGGGGTACATTGGGGACATCTCTTAACCTGCAACAGGTTCCACAGGTCCCTGTGTTTAAATCATCAGAACACACAGTTGTTGCTCAATAAATTGTAACTGTGCTTGGCAACATGGTTATCATGATAGTCGTAAGTGGGGCCATTTCCTCATTTCCTTTCATTCCCATTTCTTTCAAATCATAGTTTAAAAGGCTGAAAAATTAGACTCATGTGGTGGTGCATGCCTGTAATCCCAGCTATTTGGGAGGCTGAGGCAGAAGGATACCAAGTTGGAGCCCATCTATACAACTTAGAGACTTAGCAACACCCTTTCAAAACAAAGCAAAAAGGAATAAGGGAAAAAAAGGGCTAGGGATATAGCTCAGTGCAAAGGCCCTGGGTTCACTCAGAAATACAAGAGAAAAAAAGGGCTGAAAAATGTGTTTGATCAGCCAAAAAGTATTTATTGAGCAGCTACTATGTACCTGGCATTGTTCTAGGCACTCAGGATCTGGCAATAAGCAAGACAGGACTTCTGCCTTCTCAGGAGCTTGCAGTTGCCAAGCTGGTGCAGGCAATAAACACACACACATACACACACAGAATGTTTACATGTGATGGATGGAGTAGCATCTCTTCCCTGGAATCAGTTTTACAATATTAACATAGAATTTGTCCATGATGATAGATGTTCCCTTAAGAAAACCTTTTCATATAAGGGGTTGATGAGAATCCTCAAGGGGCACCAGAGCACAGATGGCTTCTGCTCCACCTGTCCCAGCTGCTTGGCAGTAAAGCAGCACTGCTGCTGACGCCTCACAGCTTTTGTGGCACTCGCTCAGGACTGGGTCCCAGGCCAGTGCTGGAGGTGTGGAGGCAGCCACTGGCTGGGGGGACTGTGCTAACTTCCAGGTGGTGGGACTGTCACTGCTCTTGTGTTTCACATCAGCCTCCCATCACGGCGGGAGATGGGGGGAGCGTTTCCTAGTAGCCCAGACAGCATCTTTCTGCAAATTAGAAAAAGATGTTGCTTTCCTGAAGGCATATGACTGCCATCTGTCTGAGGTTTCTCATACTATTTATTTATACACCACGCAAGGTGTGAATTGCCCCCTCTCATTTTGCTCAGTGTGGAGCCTGCCCACTCATATGTAATATGAGGTCTAAACATGTCCTTCCAAGAGAGAAGCAAGAATGCAACTTTTTTCATAATTGTCTCCTTTCTGCCTGTTTCCCTTGTGACACCGCACACCACTGTCACCTACATGCAGACATCAGGGCTCACGCCAGTGGTGAATAAGTCCACACCAGGTCCTAAGAATGAAGTCATTCTTGGGAGGAGACAGCTAGCATCTATGTGTCTGCAACGAAACAAGCAAATGAAACTGAGCTCCTCAAAGCACAGAGGACTTCTGGTCTGGCCTGACGCAGGGCCATCCTCTCTGCCATCTGCTCAGCTTTCTTGCTCCTGTCACCTATGCTGTCCTGTTGTTCCATTGTGTTGGAAGCACAATGGCTCTGCAGTCTCCGAAGTCTGTGTGGCCATGAGGTCTACCCATATCCATTTTCCCGCTGCTCCAGATCTGGGTACCTTCGCCTGAATGGCTGTGTCCAACTCACCTTATTGTCTCCTGCCCCAGCCCCTTCCTCTCCCTGCAGGCTCCTGGATTCTAGGACCCTAGCATCAGGAATGACTGTCCTCTTAGTCTGCTATGCCCTTTCCTGTCACCTGACCTCTGATTGGTCCCTGTATTAGTCAGCTGTTCCCTCCCTGGGGCACAATACCGGCCCCTGCAGCTTAAAGGACTGGGTTCCTGTGGCTTATGGTCTCAGGGAATTTGCACCATGGTTACCTGGCTTCCAGGTAGGAACATCAGGGCAGAGGGTGTGGCAGAGGACAGTGGCTCAGTTAGCAGAGGCCAAGGCCAGGAAGTACACCAAGGGATTAGTTTCAGAGAGGAAGGGGCAGGGACCAGACACAGCACTGAGGTTACACACATGCCCCACCAGACACACCCTGAGTGTGCTTTCCTCATCCCGATTCAGTTCCCACACTATCTACCTGGACATGGGGGGGTCACTTCCCACAGGCCAGTCCGCCCAGACTGCCCCTCTTCCGACACTGCCACAGGTAGTAGCTTGTCACCTGTGCTGGTCACCATCCACATTAGCTTGGGCTATGGGCTCCTGCCACCCCCTCCTGGGCTTGCTAGAGTGGCTCACTGAGCTGAAGGAGATGCCTGACTTCTGCTACCCATTTATGATAAAGGCTGACAGGCGAGTATAGATGGCAGCCAGGTGAGGAGACGGAGAGGGAGATGGTGAGAGGGCAGGGGCTCCCCGCCTTCTCCTGGACTCGCTCTCCAGGGACCTCCCCATTCGGATTCCCTGAGCCTCGAATTCCCCATCCTTCTGGGTGCTAAAGGAGGTGTTACTACAGAGGCCTTACGCACTACACTGGCCAACTTGGCCTTCGCCCCTCCCCTCCACAGAGGGGTGTGTGTGTGTTTGTCTGTCTGTCTGTCTGTCTATATATGGGGGATGAGGCTGAAAGCCCTAGCCTTTGGAGGCTAGGGATGTAGCTCAGAAGTAGGGCACTTGCCTAGCAGGTGCAAGGCCCTGAGTTCCATCCTCAGCAGAGAGAGAACAAAGAAAGGGAGGAGAGCAGAGGGGAGGGGAGGGGAGGGGAGGGAGCTGGGCATGGTGGTGTATGCCTGTAATCCCAGCACTTGGGAGGCTGAGGCAGGAGGATGGCCCCAAGTTCAGCCTGGGCTATATAGTGAGTTCAAGGCCATCCTAAACTGCATAGTGAGGCCCTGTCTGAAAAAAGCAAAAATCAGAACACATATACACACACACACACACAAAAGCAAGAAAAGAAGGGAAGGAAGGGTGGAAAGGCCAAAAAGAAAGTCCCAACAAGAAAGTCCCACCCTCAAAACACATGGCTGGCTCCCTGACAACGGCCCCCATCACCCCCATCCAGAGGCCCAGGAGCCCCCAGAGTCACCTTAGCAGAACAAAAGCTGCTGCTATCTCCCAGGAATGTCCAGGGATTCCAGAGCCTGTATCAGATGTTATCACTCCCCAACATGGCAAAGGTCTCAGGAGCTACAGGGACAAAGACCATGCATTAGAACAGAGAATTCTCAGCCGAGGGTGGTGGCACACACCTGTAATCCCAGCACTCGGGAGGCTGAGGCAGGAGGATCACCTGGAGTTTGAGGCCAGTTTGGGCTACATAATGAGTTCAGGCCCAGCCTGAACTACAAAGGGAGATCCTGCCCCAAAAAACAAAACGAAACAAAAGAACAGAATTCTCCTGGTGCTGCCTGTGAGGGAGATTCGGGAACTCTGCAGGAACAGGGCAGGGGGCAGAGATGGAGTATGCACTTCTTATTCTCTTGTCTCACCAGTGCCACAGGCCGAGCTTCTCTTGATCAGCATCGGCTGCAAGATCTGCCCATTGGGAGTCTCGGGATGCCTGATTCCAACTCCAGGCAGTGCCCTGCCACCCGTGTCCAGGAAGCCTCCATGCAGCTGGCAGAGGAGACCACAGGCTCAGAACCTTTCCCACAGGCCAGAGACAGGGCTTAAGCTTAAGTGTAAAAGTCACTCTTTTCATGGTGTCTTGCTACTTCCCCAAGGAAAATTCTAAGATAAGAATAAAAACTTAAATTTTAAATTTGAGCCAGGTGTGGTGGCACACATCTGTAATCCCAGCACTTGGGAGCCTGAGGCAGGAGGCTTGCTTTGAATTCAAGGCAGCCTGGGCTGCACTGGCAAGAC